TTTGTTATCTGAGGGGACTTTTATCAAAAAGTTGTTTAAGAAACTATTTATTCATAAAAAACTTCATTTTTGGAGGTATTTTCAAATCGGTCCAGCTCGCTTAAATCTTAATATTTTTCCGAAATATTTTGGTGGACGTCTTAAAATATAATAATTTTATAATCCGGGCGGAAAAACCGCAACTTTTTTTGGTGATGCAGTCTAATATACATATATGTATTGTATGTTCCTTACGTTTTTATACTACTATAGTTTAAAGTAGATAAGTTTACGGCCCTTAATATGTGTATGTTCTTGTGGTGTGATTGTACCAGCTGCTGGTGCGACTTCACAAACTATTTGAAAATTTTATGATTGAAATGATTTGATGAAATTAGCTAAATTTTCTAAGTAAAAAGTATTTTGGCGGAAATTTCTTGCCCTATATGGGTCAAAGCCGTGTTTGTGGAAGATTAAGTTCACGATATTGTAGTTGGGAAAAAAACAATGTTTAATAATATGGTAGAAAAATTATGAAATTTTGGATCTAATCATTTCGATCTTTTCTCGACCTCATTTGTAAAGAAATAAATATTGTACCAGCATGCTGGTAAGTTATATGCTTCGAGCGTGATGGTACAATCACTTGATGGAGCAAGCAAGCTGGTGTCGTATATTTCCCCTTTTATACAAAAAGGTTTGTGGTTGGATAAAGTCTTAGGTTTTTTCCAGACTTCATTGTTTTTCTATACCATTACTTGTTGAAAATGTTTGCGTGTATACTTATATATGTATATGTAAGTAAAAAATTTAGCTACCATTTTTAGCCACAACGACTTTTTTTAGCTCTTTTTTAGCACTTTTTTAACGGAATTTGGCTACCGCTAAAAATGATTCGCGGCAACACTGGTCAGGCGGTTTGTGAAATACGGGAGTCGAAGGCCCCGAGTGTCTTCGCAACCGGGGAAAGGAGTGTTATCGGCCGATAAGAATCTCCTATGTTGGCAGGTTTCCCCGGTTTGAGCAGTGGGACCACTCTCCCCACCTTCCAGATGTCTGGGATGATGAGAGTGGCCATAGACAAATTGAGGACCTCCGTTAGGTACTATTAAATTTGCACTCAATTCTCTTTATTCAATATTTACATTAACTTCTTACCTAATTACAAATGCGCTGTAAGAATATTTAAATGTACAGCGGCTAGCGAATGCCGGCACGGTTCAACCAAGACTGCCCTACAACTCTCCTTGATCATAACATAGTCATGATCACTCAAACATTCGTTAAGTTGAAAGCTCTTAACAGTTGTGCCATAAGCTTGCATATTTAACACCCCTTAACGCATAGCATAGAACCCCGGTGGCTTCCTGGCCCTCATTGGAAAATCCCGCGCGGGTGACGGTGATGGGCTTGCTTCGATTGGAGCTGGCGACCGAAGCACTAAAGGAGGTGAATTCTCAGTCATCGGCGAAGCTTTTCCTGCCGGGATAGTTGAAACGGGTGACTCTGATTCAGCAGACAGATCGTCGTTTGCGTTCTCCTCTTTGCTTTCCGATATCTCTATGTAATGATCGGAAGAGACCAAGCGAGGACGAATTTGATCTAGATGTCGCTTGATTGTTCTTCCATCTTCGAGTCTAACAGTATACGATATGGGCCCAGTTCGTGATTCAGTTGTTGCTTGTTTCCAAAGGGGCCCGGATGCATAATTACGGATCCATACAGGATCATCCTTGGAAAACGTGTTGACCTTCGAGGTGTGGTTATCGGTTTGTGCGGTTAATTCATGTGGATGAATTTTATCAAAATATGGTTTAAGCTTCCTGTTAAACATTAGCTCTGCTGGCGACTGTCCGGTTGATGCATGTGGTGTGATGTGTTGGTTAAACAAGACTCGAACAAGCTCTAAATTTATATCGCATTTCGTAGACAGTTTTTTAAAAAACTGTTTAGTTGTTTGTACCATACGCTCAGCCTGTCCGTTTGAGGACGGATGGAATGGAGCACTGCGGATATGTCTTATCAGATTATCGTTCATAAATGACTTAAATAACTCCGAAGTGAAGGCGGTGCCATTGTCAGAAACAATAGAATCAGGTAGGCCGTGTGTTGAAAACAAGGTACGTAATGGCTTGATAGCGGCTTCTGACGATGTTGATTTCACGATAAAAACTTCTAGCCATTTAGAGTAAGAGTCTACTACAATGAAAAATTG